AAATCGTGCCCCCCCCCCCCCCCACCTAATTTAGAAAGGATATTCATGTGTCCTCGTGATCAAGGGCAAAGTGCTGAAATGTTACCCTCTACCAGGGCCACAGATTGATTTTTCACAGATATTCACAGATATGTCTCTGGTTAAATAGATGGCTAATCTCTGCACTGTGATTGCCTCAGCAAATATGTCCACATTAATAACTGCGGCACTGGTAGTGGGTATTGAAATGTCATGGTATATGTTTGTTAATCCTGCAGTTGTACAGACATCTAACGCGCACTGCATACCCTTTGGCAAGACAACCTTGATAACCTGAGGCGACTCTGTGGACACAATGGGTAACAAAATGTATTGCTACGCATGCAGAATTTGGACGGACTCAAAACGGCTACTGCACGTGGCATTATTTTAACTCACCCAGTAATACAGTTTCTCTACACTCCTCTCCCTCAGATGTCAACGTACTAAACTGTTTCCTTTTAAAACTTCCTCTAGCCATGTTAATTACCATTCTCAAGTACTGCAGCCCAGCAAATCGCAAATTATCATATATAATAACAATCTATCCACACCTACATATATATTAAATCTACATATTTATCATGTAAAGGATAATGCCCCCCTTCCCCAGTAATTGCCCCCGATGCTATCACTTCATTTTGCTGTGAATTAATATTCACTATATCTCATTTTTTAGTATTTTCTAAATATTTTAATAGTAAAAAGTATTCAAAGTTAATGAATATATATTTAAGACAGTATAATAGTTAAGAAATACATCACCTATCAGTCCAAGATAGTGGCATCTGAATTATTCTCACTTCATACAATTTATACTACTCAAAAAAAAGTTGGGGAACACGTAAAAGAGCGGATATTTTAAAAAGAGCGTTTATTTGATCAATAAATATGACCGTGAAAATAATTATCGTCGCTGTATTGAATCGTGCATTGTGATTACTCGTTGCGCTTAGTGGTCTATATATTTTACGTGGTTAAATGTTTAATATTTTAATGTTTAAGTGGTTTACATTAAACATATATACATATTCATATTTCACAGCGAAGTTAATTTAGGGGAGCAGTGGAAGGCGGGATGGGAGGCGGGTGCATGTAATTGCAAATGAAATAAGTATTAAAATTCGCCATAGATTCCACTACAGATGTTATGAGCAATGTGCGGAATGAACCGCTTTAAGGGAATGATAACATACGAAGGTAGCCAGGGCCACTAATCTATGTCGTAATTTATTTTCAACGGTTTTAGCTAGGGTGTACTGTATCTCGATTTAAAAAACAACATGCTGAAATGTTCGTAATCATGATCGTCATAGATATTTTTGCTATAGTGGAGGCTAACGGACATTCTATGCCTCGAAAGTGAAGATTTATTTATGTAGCAAAGCCAGCTACGAGATAATTGATAGTCATCCTCCACTACTTTCGAACAGACCCTGTGAATACAAAGGTGAATGGGTGTAGGCCCTTGATCCTGAGGTCCTGTTCACTTATCTTATCTTCTCTAGCCCGGGGGATCTATTTCAGAATAGCCAGACCATTGTACAGAAACTGCCCGGCTGGGTGTGAAGCGGGCCTTATCAAACAAGTTGAAGAAGTACCCCCCTCCACACACACACACATACACACACACGCACACACACGTGCACAACCCTCTACATGTATCATCCGAAATGAGAAGGCCGCAAAAAGGAGGGAAAATATATAAAGGTATATGCATGCATTGCAACGAACTCCTTACACTAGCCCTGGCAACAACTAAAACCCCAAAACCTAATGCCAGATTTTGCAAAAGAAATCCAAGGTACATGTTGGTTCACTTTCGTACGATATGAATTCAATGTAGATCTTTTCCACTTAAGAAAGAGAAAATTGGTATGAAACATCCATCGTGTCTTTGTGTACTACAAAACAGGTGCTATACTATGTACAAGAAGACTACCATTAATTGATAACTAGACTAACATTTTAGGTCTTAGTTTTTGACCAATTTCGGCTAAATCTATTTCGTGGCAAATGTCTACAGGTAAAGCCATGGGTGGCTTCGGTCCGATATCAACTAAAAGCATGGCTTGACTGGGAGGAAGACCTCTTTTTAACTAAGAACTTAAGGAATAAACCGTAAATTCTGGCTCGTACCCACCAATTTCAAAAGGAGCGTTATTATTATTATTATTTTTAGAAAAGTGGACCTTTTACAATGATACCTTTGTACACCTAGATCAAATTTTACCCAGAATGGACCTTTTCCTGACAAGAAAAGGGGGGGGGGGTCTTTCGAACCTCCGACAATCCTCCGCGACCCCTCTGGCTACGGGCCTTGTGATGTAGGTGACGCTCAAACAATGCTTACCTCGAAACCAAGTCGCTACAGCAGTGGCGTACTCATGCTGTCCTTGTTGTCCCCAAGTAGGGGACGGGCCCCTGAGCGTGATTTTAAGATTTCCGACTTAAAGACTGCCCTTAGCTTTATCGTACACATCGACAAGTAGTATATATTATTTAAAATGAAGACCCCGCTATTCTAAAATGCATCGGGACATTAAATATTTACCTAAAATGCATATGGCGGCTATTGATCAATTTTCTAATACCTTGACCCATTTTCTATGGGGGTTTTTTTTTCGACTCGGTAACTTATTACCTTGTCTTCTTATTTCCATTATCCTATCAAAATATTATATTAGAATAACGGTCATCATTCAAAAGATGACGTGCAACGTGCAGTACAATACACAATTCCATTATTTTTTTTAATTCAGATTAAAAAAATATTAAAGGTATAGAAATGGCACTGTGCAATTCAAGCCTACATTACCTTCGCCACTGGCGCCGTACTGTGAAATGGCATACGATGTTCCGTGCGATTATTCACATCGTAAACGGTAAGTCCCTGTATGTTTATATTATCTGCCGGTGCCTTCAGGTCACATTAGGACACACAGGTTGATCGGCTGAAAAGCGAGCGCACGGCGCCCTTTCAGATTCAGTGAAGCAACAATCGTACGCCTTAGGCGCGGCTTTCTGAAGGATCGATACCTTGTCGCTGCAGCCCTCTACCGTTTTATTAGGCTGAAGTTAGTGTCTAGTATTTAGTTTCAACTATCGTTTTTCAAAGCACGATTCTGACACTCAGAATCTAGTGTTGTTTAAAAAAAATGCTTCTGGCAAAGAAAGTCTGCCGTGGTGACGTTTATGGCCATGTAAACATCCTTTGCTCGATTTTAATTTTGATCGCGTTCAAAATTATTTCTCAAATGTATGCAATAAGTTGAGAATATCACAAGCTCCCTTTGATGCTTGAATTCAGTATTCTTCTGTTTAAAAGTTTAGGATTCATATATTTTCTGCACTGACATTAAGTTCAGTGTGGGTATATATTATAGAACTCTGGGGCCTGATTTTTCGAAACAGAAATTCCGCTGGACTTCAGTTTTTAAGAAAGTGGTAGGAGCCCGTGCTGCTCAACACCGTATTCAAACGACAGAGCCTACGGAATATAGAAACACTCTTATTTTTAAACATATTGTATATTCGCCACTTTTCGAACGTACAGTTGAAAAGGATCCAAAGACCAAAAAACTTTCGGAATACCGCAAACGTAGTAGAAGTCTACGACAGGGAGACGCAAAGTTTCGCGGATCCTAGGTCAGAACAATTCCAGTAGTTCTGTTCAATTTATATGAAAAAAAACTTTATTTTATATTGTCTTGTTTCGTAATTAACTTCCCTTACAAGTATACCATCAGAGATTTTTCAGCAATCTAAAAAAGGGGGAAAAAAGAAACAATGAAGTAGAATAAAATTAAATAAAACAAAAAGGAACAAAGTAAAATGAAACTGAACAGAGAGAAAAAATAATGATAATAAGAAGGATAATGGAGAACATTGCAGCGTGCAGTATCCATGTTCAAATCCGATTTTCCTTGAAAAATGTATCTTTAATATTCATGAAATATTCTTCGACCCGCCACTGCTGTTGGATTTTATGTTTTATTCTTAAAAAAAAAAAAAAAAAACATTTTAGTTGTCTCCCGTTACGTTTAATCGTGTCTTTGCGTTCACTTAAGACGGAAATGACATCAGATATTTTCGTTTGAGAGGTAAAAAAAATTTTAGAGGATTCAAATTGTAAAAGGTGTGTAGCTTAACACTATATGCAGAAAAAGAAAACGTGACTTTGAGACGGTTTTAAACCTTAAACCTAGACCTTCAATTTAAGGCCAGTAACACTAGCAGATTCGAAAAAAATATTTATGTACAAGTAGCCTAAGTTTGGTGACTAAGAGCGCATTCTCAACGAATTAAGCCAGGCTTTACAAAGCCGGTGACCTAAAAATGGCGGACGTACATGAAAGAAAAACCGCCTAATCTTTTAATAGTCTCTCCGCCTCTCACACGCCTCCCCACACGTCGTCCCTGCGGGGTACAGTAATTAAATCTCGGCTCCGAACATTATTATTTCCGTGAATATCTCTGGTGATATTATCTCCGTAGACAGTCGATTCATTGCTGCTCTACGGGCCAAATTATTCCTTTTTCGTCTCTGTTTTCAAAGATAATAGAACAGAAGAGCTTTTTTCCTTCGATCGCCTTCAGCCGCCATGCTTTCTTCACCACGAGTTTAACTGATGAGCATGCGCACTTAATATTTCTCAGGTAGCTTCCGCATGGCGAACGGAGACGCGATTTAATTACTGTACCCCGCAGGGACGACGTGTGGGGAGGCGGAGAGCCTATTAAAAGATTAGGCGGTTTTTCTTTCATGTACGTCCGCCATTTTTAAGTCACCGGCTTTGTAAAGCCTGGCTTAATTCGTTGAGAATGCGCTCTAATCCACACTGCACTAGGACCACGTCTTGGACAGTTTGGCAGACGGGGTTTCAATAGTGTTCTAACACAATCACATTCCACAATCATCAATTGGAACAGTCTTCTCCAGATTGGAAAAAAATCACGAAATCATGTGACACGCAACGAAATACCGGCATCCGCGTCATGGGTCACGTGGTTTTACGGTTGAAGACTCCACCCTCAGCGAACGGTAGAACAAGAAGTTGGACTTTCCAACTTCTTGGGTAGAACTACAAAAGGCCACCGGCTTTTTCAAAAAAGCGAACTGCATGAAGGAGTAACAAATAACACCCCATTTCCATAGATTTTTAGATCGATCTATCCCTGTGGGGAGTCTCACTAGATTACTGTCAGCTTGGCCGGCTTAAGCGTCTGTCCCGCCTAATAAAAGCTGTAAGGGGGTAATTAACTATGGTGCCCGCTCGGCTAACTGCAATTTAGCGTGAACCCCCAGGGAGTTAGGTCGATCTAAATCTTAACCTTTAGATCGATCTAAATCTCTGGGAAAGCACCCTAAGAGTTAAAGAGCAGTACTTCAAATGCATTGGTTCACAGGCAGCTGACATACTGTTTGACCCCTCTTAATCTCGGCAGTTTTCATTGTTGGAAATAATATCTATAAATTCAACAAATAGCTACTATACATAAACATTCAGCAGGGACAGGTGTACTGTACAAGATATTTTCAGGACTCTCTCAAACACTGTTACACAGGTGAGAATCATGAATAACGCTTTAAATGAAAGTGGAACACCAGAAACTGTGAGTATGGTGAAACCGAAGTCATTTAACAAACCAACTCAGTCTAAACACCACGAGTTCAGACATGAAAAACGAAGTAGAAACCCCCCGACTGAGAAAACATGGAACGTTGGATCACTGTGCAAAAGTCTGCAAAACTGAAACTATTGTTCATGTAAATGACAGTTATGAACATGATAATCCAGGGGTGCATATACATTTGGTGTGGGAACCAATGCAATATACACAGCCATGCCAAATATGGTGGAAATAGAGATAGGCGGCGTTGATCTCAGTGTATTACCAGATTCAGGTGCATATTTTAATATCATTGATGAAAATACATGGGGAATGCTGAAATCCAAAAAAAAAAAAAAATAAATAAATAAATAATAATTATTATTATTATTATTATAATAAAAATGAAAATAAGAAAAATAAATGTGGCTCAGGCTCTTGTGGAGGACCACAAAACAAACAGTATTATTCATACACGTCTGAGAAATCTTTAAAAGTGAAGGGAACATTTGAATGTGACATATAGGCAGGTAAAGGAAGAGACCATGTGGAATTTGTAGTAGTGAAAGGACATGGGGTTTGATATGAGTTGATTAGATTTGAGAATTTTCAGTGTGGTTAAAAGAATTATAGTTGGAGGTCATATGTTATTCTGCAAATGTTTGAAAAGACAATTTAAAGAGTGAACTGTCAATTAGCATATATTTGAAAGGACCGTTTCTCTCCAAGAAAGGAAGGGATGTTGTGTTTTGACTTGACATTTGAATAAACTGTTGTTAACTTAGTAGAGTTACTTGTTCCATTGTTAATTCCTTTAATTATTATTAGCTTGTCAAGGAGCCGGATGTATCATTTCTTAGTGTTATGAATATGAAAAAAGCACAAGCGTTGCAAACTGGTTCAATTCATTGAGTGATTTGAATTGTGATGTAATTTAATTCAAAAGCATCAACAATATACTGGGGTTTGTCTTTGTGCACATGTAATTCTCTTTTTATTGTACATCTATATCTATGCTAGGGTATACATAATTCTTTTTCAGAGTTTATATGTATGTAGCCAGCATGCAAGTTGAATACATTGAAACAGTTACTGCATGGTTATTTATAATTTTATTATAACTCACCATCATCTAAAAANGTAGTCTCTCAAGTTTAGATATAAATCATTCAAGCATCTGCCATAGTTAAATTTTTTGGTACAGCCAGCCTGCTCTTAAATAATAACATTTACATTCATTTAAAGGTAATAGGCAGAGAAACATGCTGGGGGGGGGGGGGGGGGGGCTAAAATAGAAGGAAGGTCATTGGTGCCCTCTATGATACCCACCTACAGTACACATGAAGTAAATAAAAAATAAACTTTTCATGGACTGGGAGAACCCCCCACCCCCACCCTCATACGCAATCCTCCCCACCCCATCCCACCCCCAGTTCTACAGGCCTGTATTTGTCATTATCATTATTAATTCTCATTATTTATATCAAGTATAAATGAATAGTCCCATTTCTTAGTAAAATTCTCAGAAAAGTTTAGTTCTGAGTATTAAGCCTGATAATATGACATCAGTAAAGTTATAATCAAACCGTCTGGATTATATATTGTATTTACCCGACTGAGTTCTATGATCTTCTCACACAGTAAAGACCATGCTGTTATCACTTCATACCATTGTCTTATGAGACAGAAAGGTGCTGTACAATACAGACACACATTATTATAATAAGTTTTTAAAAAGTGTTCAATATCATGTCAAATAACCTAGCATCATTATCAGGAATTCTTCACACCTTTTGTCCTATTCCAATCCCGTCCTGGTCCATTCCCAGAAGGACAATGTTATTGGTAGTGCCACAGGGAGATAGCAAATAAATACTGTTCTTAGTTCATAAATTAATAGACAAGCTGCAGACAGGATTTATAGTTCAAAGCCATTTTTATCCCAGAAGGCCAAAATTAATGCTCTGTGGGTTAGGTCAGGGGTGTCTGAGGCCCCCAAAAATATCATTATGATTTCAGAAATTAAAATGTACAACCAGCAGACGGCTAGCAAGATTTGTACTTCCAGTCCATCTGGTCGTAGTCCTCCATTATCCCCTGCTCGTCCTGCATGTCTAAGCACCTCTTGAGTTCTGACTCTAGCTCTTCAGTTTCGGAGTCCTGTTCTGAGTTTTCATCTCTCGGAGACTCGTCAATTGTGTCTGGACGATTGTCTGAGGCAACATTGCCATGGAATTCTGCAAGAAATAAATAAATGATAAACAAATAAAATAATGAATATATGAATGAAGAAACAGCAGAAAACGTAGTTTTTTGGCACTGCCACATAATCCATCTGATCAGGAATTTAAGAATAAACAATAAATAAATAAATAAATTGATTAATAATGGTTTTAAGACATTTCTGAATTTGTAATACCTGACAATAACAATAATCAAAATTATAGTTTGCAATAATTATTGATCTTTTTTATTTTTTATATTTTTTTCTGAGAGGAGGGGATATCTGTACTCACCAAAGTTGGGTAGCACCTCTCTGAAGTCATAACTGGAGATATTGACTGGCTGTATGACCCAGGGGTGTAACTTCATGTCACGGACACTGGCACGCAGTTTAGGATTGGGGTGTAATATCCAGCGTATCAACTGAAGCAGGGCTGGGGAAAAAAAAAATAAAAGGAAGTTCAAACACAGATATTTTTAATGGTCGAGGATTTCAGAACTTCAAAGCAGCGGTAAACTGAATTAAAAAAAAAATAATAATAACCTTACAATATTGAAGTGTTAAAAGTGTTTGAAAAACAATCAATGGCCCCATTCAGAATAGGGGACTAACTAGTCCGAGGGTCAAATATGGCGACCCACTACAAAGCTTGCTGTCTATTCTGCTAATAGACACTGAATAGATATCCCGTGGGGAAGTATTCAAGTAGGTCGGCCATATTTGACCCTTGGACTAGTTAGTCCCCTATTCTGAATGGGGCCATTGTGTCGATGGTTTCACAGGAATTTTCATTCACTTACGTCTGGTCACCACAAAAGGTGGTTTCAGCATGCACTGTATTGTCTCATCAACATCGTAGAATGGATTCTCCCCAAATATCAGCGTATACAGGGTGACCCCCATAGACCAGACCTCTAACTCTGGTCCTGTATAACTGAAATAATACACATCATATTCCTATATAAAATATCAGCGTATACAGGGTGACCCCCATAGACCAGACCTCTAACTCTGGCCCTGTATAACTGAAATAATACACATCATTCAAATGTGCTTTATCTATCCTTTAACAAATAGAGTACATAATATACAAGATACATTTTACATCCACACAAAGTATTGAAAGATATTCTAGGTCCATATGATATAGGCTGTGCCAATTCCAATGGGTAGAAAAGTAAAGTAATAACTGAATCCATTCAATAATAATAAAAATATTACTGCAATCATCATCACCAATGTGGATATAATCATGATCATTATAATTATTCTAACAACTACAAGATATCAACTACTTATTATTATTATTACTTTATTATTCTAACAACTACAATATGTCAATCACTTGCTATTATTATTATTATTATTATTATTATTATTATTATTATTTTAACACATACAACATATCAATCACTTACGGGTTTCCTAGCAGCACCTCAGGACTGCAGTATTCTATGGTCCCACAGAATGTATTGAACACTTTCCCAGGCCTCATATACGCTGCTGAGCCAAAGTCGATCAGCTTGATGTCAAAACTCTCATTAATGATGATGTTCTCGTCCTTGATGTCACGGTGAAGGATGTTTTGGCTGTGGATGTATTCCACTGCAGAAACAAGCTAGTAATATTTAAAAATATATATTATTAAAATAATTGTAATTATCAATGTTGACCATTACAATTAATATTACCTTGCACCTCATTAGAAACTTTTAATTCATTATGTCCTCTATTTTTTTATTCTGATAGTGAAAGAAATATATTTGAGGACACCGGCACCAATGATTAACCATTTAATTTGAACAAAATATATTATTACTTATAACTCATACAACATTAGAGCTAATTGTGAAAACAAGAGCATCAAGGATAATGGTGACATAGGCTTATTCTTGTCTCTTGTGCTATGATGGCAAAATAATTAAATAGCTTTGCAAGTAAATTGTTATGACTTACAGGGTATGAAAATATGCTTTTTGGACATGATTTACTTTTTTACCCAGGAAACCATTCTTTGTTGCTTAACTAACCTGCCTGAACATGTAGCTGGCCAGTTTCTCGTCCATGTTGGGATTTCTGTCGATGAATTCAAACATGTCCATTCCGCTGCCGTGTTTCTCCATGACCACCTGGAAGAACATCTCATTCTCGTACGCTTCCAGCATCTGGAAATATGAATAAAAACACACAAAAGTTTACCACTTTGTATTTTATTTTTTAAATGAATTTTTAAAGAAAATTATTTGCTAATTTTATTACAACATCTTTGTTTTGTCTACAGAAATGACCAGTACTTTAACACATTTGAGCACCACAAGTTAACTGCAGAACTTCCAAATCTATTATTTAAAATAAAACTACTGTACCAATTTTATAAATTACTGTTGTTATAAAATATTGTTTTTCACTTAATTCTTTCTCATTTATTCATATGCTAATTAATCTATTTGCATTTTTAATAGTATATTCATTGATGAATTTATTTAATTTTATGCTTTCATTATCAATAATCTATTTACTAATTAATCAACTAATCAATTTCAATATTCAACTGCTTTCCTTCTCACCATGGCAATGCTGTTAAGGTCAATAATCTATTAACTTAATTTCATTATTATTACTATTATTATTATTATTATTAATAAGTCTTCCTGCTCACCATAACAATATTGGGGTGGCCAAGCTTTGCCAGGAGGTCAATCTCCAGAGGTATTCTGCCCAGGTCAGCGTGGTTAACCCAGCAGTCTTTTAACACTTTGGCCTTACGCACAAACTTCACCACAACCTTGAGAAAAAGCAAATAAAAACATGTTGAATTGATACATTATCACAGTACTGTGTTTGTTGTAAGACGACATGCTCAGAAGTGTTATGCTTGAACTTGACCATAACCTGGAGACAGCAAATAAAAAATCAACACAATGTTTCTTATAAAACACTTATTGAATCAGTGTCATGTGACAGTAGAGAGCACTCACTTCCTGCCCGTCAGCCCTCCTCTTGGCCAGCTTCACAAACCCAAAGGCTCCCTTCCCTATGGACATGGTGGTCTGGTAATTCTCAGAATACTTCCCGCGGCACGCTGGATCCTCCTCCTCCTCTTCCTCCTCATCAGCGGGTTTCTGTCGACTCACTGGACGGCTGTCTCCCTGCTCATTGCTGGAGTTGATCTTGGCCTTCTCTGCCAGCACCTGGGGATTTATAACTTATTATTAAATTAGGAAGGATTCAGAACTTCAGACAGTCCTCCGCCAAGAAAGCTTGATAATGTATTAATTAATTAATTAATTGATTAGTTAATTAATTTAATGACTCACCCCTTAAAATCTACATGCAATCAATTCAAAGTTAGTCCACTTCTGGCCTTTCCTTAAGTTACTGCTACTGCTACTACTGCTACTACATGTAGTACTACTCTTACTACACGTACTACTACTACATCTTGCCAACCCCCCAGTATCAACCCAGCTCTCTCACCTCTCCCAGACTTATGATGGACGCCCCCAGGGTGCTGTTCAGACTGGACGCCAGGGTGAGGTTGGCAAAGGACCTCGTCCCCTCCCCCTGCTCTTCGGGGTCTCTGGACACCCACATGCAGTACAGGGAGTGACCGCTGTCCAGCTCAATTTGACGGATTTGGAACACAACGCCTGGAATGGAGGATTGGATTATACAATAAATTTGGACAGAATGAGTCTTTGAAGAGTCAAACAAACAACAGAAACCTACTTCACCAAATTAACGAAATGTTATTGTCTTACCTAAGAAAGAACCATCTTTATGCCTTCCATGGCCACAGTAACTTCCCTCAGGAATCAGAAAATGCGACGACGAGGACAGCTGCCGCCTTGCTCCCCGTGACGATGACCTTGAGGACGACCTTGCTGGAGTCGAGGTAAACTTTTCTGGTACGTCTTCTGATTGAAGTCTCTCCTTAAAATCATTTTCTACAGGTGTCTGTGCGTCTTTACCCAAAGCAGAGGAACAATCTCTGGGACTCGTGTTCTCTATTGTGTTAGAACTGTTTGTATTAGCTCCTGTATATTTTACTGAACTACTCACTGGCGACAATGGAATATCATAATCTGGGCTTTTATACCCCGGGAGAGGGCTTAGTTCTATCCGTCCATCAGTGCCCTCTACAGGACTCTTTTCTGACTTTACATGTGAGGTTAACGAACTGTTAAGAGCATTCTTTTTAGCTGTCAAGGATGCACTGCTTTCAGGTCGAACATCGCCCCTTTGAAATTCCCACTCACTTGCTGTGGTACCTAGAGATGTGACAGAGTCATCGAGACCAACTCGACACGAAGAATTGTCTGTGTTCAAGCTGCTTTCATTTAAAAAGTTATAAGTATTTCTAGACCCTGGTGTTGTTATATTTGAAGAGTCTAAACACTGCGACGAAGCATTTAAAAGGTCATCAGTTTTGGCACTGTCATCTGACTTTGAATTGCTCTCATCTTGCTCTGATAGCGACCTCCCTGTTTTTAAACCAGCAACCCCTTCTTCTTTTTCCTGTAAGCTTGGCAGCGGGGTTTCCTGTGCAATGCCATGGTGTCCCTGGAGACCTCCAGGTCGGACAGTGGGAGGAGTCGGCATGGTACTACAACTGGACCGTGAGGAGGCAGACGCCAAGCTACTGTTGCCATGGGAACAGTCCAGATCTATGGTCAGTGGAGAGGGACTGGGCAGTTGTCCTGTTGACCCGTTCAAGGCATCCTGCACCACCTGATTGGCCTCTGACAGCAGAGCAGCCGTGTCCGGCCTGATAGCAAAATGTCAGTTTTTAAAAGTTTTCAATACAACCAAATTCATAAATTTTGCTCAATCTTGTACCTTGTTGAAAGTACAATTTCAAACACAACAGTAAGAATATGCTTACAACAACTCCTCACCTTTAATGTGAAACACAATTAACTTTAAAGTCATAAAGATCTCTTTGGTAATCCAAATAACCAGAAAATCTAAAGTGCAAATTTAATAAATAAAACAAAATCAAACAAGCAGTCCACACCTCTGTTGGATATCCTCTCCCTCACTGAACCCTGATGTTGTACCACTGGCAGCTGGAGGATGCTGACCTGAGGAACCCCTGGAATGGGGCTTGTCTTGAGATTCTGAAAGATAGATGGCACACCCTGCATAATGAAAAAATATGGAGTCTGCTGACTTCAGCCTGCCTAGCCCCTGAGGATGTGCTATTTTTATTACCTTTTGTTTTCGAGACAACCTAGCCAGAGGCACTGGCATTAAACTGTTCGCACTATGAAATACCTAACAGTACTCATTTTGTCTGTAAAATTCAAGCAAAAGTGATTAAGTACATTTTCATAAAATGTTTTATGTCAACTGCTAATTTAAAGAAAAACAAAATTTTTTTTCAGACAGTTGGTTTTTTGTCAGATTAAAGAATTCTTCATGTATATTAAGGTGAAGAATCTTTAAGATGTGATATCTAAAGTAAGTCACATCCTATGCCTGAAAATATTAATTTTTGGACTACAAAACTTGGTAGGAATTGCCACAGCATAAAACGAATCTTAGAAATATGAAATATGAACCAAGTCAGACATTTGAAAACGAAAAATGTTGCAAATATGAACTTTGAAAAATGCAATGTGCGAATGATAACCCTAAATTTTCACAGACCTGAACCTTTACTCCTGGCACTATCTGATGTGGGTTCGTCCTCGTCATCTATTGGAGGGAGTGGCATTGAGTCAGTGTCTACCATGTCCACATCATCATAGAAATCTGGGATTAAATATGTGATATCCTGAAAATATAAATAAATAAATAAATAAATAAATAAAGTGATATCTCCTGAAAATAAACCAAATCTCAGTAATAAATTATTAAAACCTTTGCCACTGTGGACATCGTTAAATTGACTTTTTATCATATTTAGGTATTCATGGATCATATTTATTAATACATGCATATTAATTTCAACGCAATTCTAGCTTCATATGATGAACTTTTAAAAATTCATAATACAGGAACTACTTACTATAACGTAAATAAAGGAAACTGGTAAATCTTAGCTTTAAAGGGTGAAAAGAGGCATTAGCTTTAGTTCCATAACACTACAGGTTTCTTTTGAAATGTGTTTATGTGAAGCTGGGGGGGGGGGGGGGCGATGAGTGAGAGG